TCAATCGATAGCGGTGTGAATTTAGCCGTGTTTATTTAATTATTTTTTATTTAATTATTATTTAAAATATTTTTCCTTATGTCTTGCACACACACACACACACACACGAGCACATCTCATGTGTGTTTGAGTTTCAGCGAGCAGTTTCTGGTTCCTGGACTGAAGCATGTGCTCCCTCTAGTGGAGGACACACACACACACACACACACACATGTGGATGATGCTTTAGTGCAGGTCACATTAGCATAATACCAGCCTCTGGTCTTGATTGGCTGAGCAGCATCTCTTAGCCACGCCCTCAAACACTAGTCCCAAAAAATAAATAAATAAAAGTAAATCAGTTGGTAAGGAAAAGAACATTTGGTTATTATAGTTAACAAAACTATTGTTTCTTGATATAAAATAAACATTTTCAGAAATAAAATAACAATGTATTAACGTTTACATTTGATGTACTCAAAATAAACAAAAATCAATAAAAACTATATAGAGAAAAAAAATCACAAAAAGTATAAAAACAAAATTCAAACTTTAATAAAACTCTAAAGATATGTGATGAGTTGTTGATCATCAGGTGACGGAGGTGAAGGAGAAGCTGAAGCGGTTCCGGAGGTTCTGGGCGTCCGTCCCCGAATCCATCTGTCAGGAGGAGCACGCGGCCGCGGCGGAGAACGAGAACTGCTGGAACGGCCTCGAGCGGGGCGGGTAACGCTCATCACGCATCCTCATATTCATATTCATGTGCGCTGTAAATGTGTAAATGATGCATGGGTTTGCTGAACTTGCTCCAGATTCGACCCTGAGGTTCAGAGAGACGCATGGGTCCTTGAGGAGAAGAACAGCACCGACGCTGTGGTCCGACGGCACATCGTGGCTCTCCGGATGATGAGCAACAAGCTGAAGAACGCTTACCACGGCACTGACCTCCACTTCCAGGACTCCGGTGAGTCGGACCGATGTGTTCAGATGTGTCGTATTGATCTGAGAATTATCTGTGCGATGATCAACTTTTCTGGGAAGTCGAGCTTGAAGCGTCGTATCCCGTTCGAAGCATTTCACCGGAATTACCCGGAACAGTTTATCCCTGGAACTTTCCCCAGACTACGTTTCCACCGCAGTCTAAAGATCGGCCGAGTTAGTCCGGTGACGTAGGACTGCGCTCTAGTGTACAGTTGTAGTTTACTCCTACTGGATTTCAGAAAAAAAATGGTGGCTGAAACAAAATGCGTCGTGAACTCAACCAATCAGCATTTTGAGCACCCAAGTCCCAAACCCGAAAGTTCCTGAATTTGAAGAAGTACTAGCGCCCCTGCAGGACTCTCTGAGGGGAAATATTTACCCGTAACTCCACCCTAAACGCCTCCACCCTAAACAACTCCACCCTAAACAACTCCACCCTAAACAACTCCACCCATAACTCTACCCTAAACGCCTCCACCCCAAATGCCTCCACCCTAAACAACTCCACCTGTAACTCTACCCTAAACGCCTCCACCCTAAACAACTCCACCCTAAACAACTCCATCCGTAACTCCACCCTAAACAACTCCACCCTAAACAACTCCACCCATAACTCTACCCTAAACGCCTCCACCCCAAATGCCTCCACCCTAAACAACTCCACCCGTAACTCTACCCTAAACGCCTCCACCCTAAACAACTCCACCCTAAACAACTCCATCCGTAACTCCACCCTAAACAACTCCACCCTAAACAACTCCACCCATAACTCTACCCTAAACGCCTCCACCCCAAATGCCTCCACCCTAAACAACTCCACCCATAACTCTACCCTAAACGCCTCCACCCCAAATGCCTCCACCCTAAACAACTCCACCCTAAACAACTCCATCCGTAACTCTACCCTAAACAACTCCACCCTAAACAACTCCACCCTAAACAACTCCACCCATAACTCTACCCTAAACGCCTCCACCCCAAATGCCTCCACCCTAAACAACTCCACCCGTAACTCTACCCTAAACGCCTCCACCCCAAATGCCTCCACCCTAAACAACTCCACCCTAAACAACTCCATCCGTAACTCTACCCTAAACAACTCCACCCTAAACAACTCCACCCTAAACAACTCCACCCATAACTCTACCCTAAACTCCTCCACCCCAAATGCCTCCACCCTAAACAACTCCACCCGTAACTCTACCCTAAACACCTCCACCCCAAATGCCTCCACCCTAAACAACTCCACCTGTAACTCTACCCTAAACGCCTCCACCCCAAATGCCTCCACCCTAAACAACTCCACCCGTAACTCTACCCTAAACGCCTCCACCCTAAACAACTCCATCCGTAACTCCACCCTAAACAACTCCACCCTAAACAACTCCACCCTAAACAACTCCACCCATAACTCTACCCTAAACGCCTCCACCCCAAATGCCTCCACCCTAAACAACTCCACCCGTAACTCTACCCTAAACGCCTCCACCCTAAACGCCTCCACCCTAAACAACTCCACCCTAAACAACTCCATCCGTAACTCCACCCTAAACAACTCCACCCATAACTCCACCCTAAACGTCTCCACCCTAAACGCCTCCACCCTAAACAACTCCACCCACAACTCCACCCTAAACGTCTCCACCCTAAACGCCTCCACCCTAAACAACTCCACCCGTAACTCCACCCTAAACAACTCCACCCATAACTCCACCCTAAACGTCTCCACCCTAAACGCCTCCACCCTAAACAACTCCACCCACAACTCCACCCTAAACGTCTCCACCCTAAACGCCTCCACCCTAAACAACTCCATCCGTAACTCCACCCTAAACAACTCCATCCGTAACTCCACCCTAAACAACTCCATCCGTAACTCCACCCTAAACAACTCCACCCTAAACAACTCCATCCGTAACTCCACCCTAAACAACTCCACCCTAAACAACTCCATCCGTAACTCCACCCTAAACAACTCCACCCTAACCGCCTCCACCCGTAACTCCACCCGTAACTCCACCCGTAACTCCACAGTTCCTGCGGTGGAAACGCGGCTTTAGTCGTTGTTATTTCCCTCTCGAGGGAACTCGCATTGCGTCGGAACGATACTTTGGGGAACACTCTTAGCGTGAGGAGACTGAAGTCTTCGTTGTGGCATAGTGGGTACTCGTTCCCCAGCGTGACGTTCCGACGCAGTATCGTCCCCTAACCCTAACCTTAACCCTAGCCCTTACCATAACCCTTCTCAGGGGTCAAGTGTCACAGTCGTAACCCGAGATGTTTTCAGTAGCCAGACCTTTGAATGTTGGCATAAAGCGGGTGTATGATGTTGTGATCTTTTCCTCCGTTTCAGTGTCAGATGAAGAGAGCAGCGGCTCCGGCTCCGGCTCCGGCGTCACAGAGTCAGACTCCTTCAGGACCGACCCGACCCACACTCCGGTTCAGGAGAACAGAGACGAGACGTCTTCAGCGTCCAGCGTCCGGCCGGAGGTTCTGCTGCTGTTCTTCAGCGCGCTGGCCGTCAGATAGTGTCACACACACACACACACACACTGAAGCCGTACGGTCCAGGGGCCTCATTTATAAAACTTTGCGTAGGATTTGCGTCAGAAGTGGCGTATGGATGAAACATAGGACGTGCGTACGCATCCTACGCATTTTTCCCTTCATAAATCACAATCAATCCTAAATGTAGTGCAGCTTTCTATCTGACTGACCATCTAATTGCTATATCTGCTCCGTTAGACGGACATATTGGCGAGAATATCAGTTTGTACATTATTTCGTTCTGTTTACCATCTTATTTATGAGGATGAATTGTATATGCCAATATTATTGCAGAACATATTTCACTTTCTTTTTGGAAATATGTGTTAATTTGCATTTCTGTTGCAGATCGATCAAACGGGTGTTCGAGTAGGCTGTTAATTGTAAGACTTGCTTTGTGAAGTCTTCGTGTTATTTATCAGAGGCAGTATTGCCATTTATTTTACACAACAGTCTACAGTTTCACACACTTTCACGTGTTTTTCCATCCGCTGACGGTGTCGCCATTTCTCATTTCACCCGTTTGTGTGCGTACGCCTGGGTCTGAGCTTGCGTGAAGGACCGCACATTTTACCGTCAAGTTTGCTTTTTATAAATACCAACTATTGCGTAAAGAGCGGCGTACGCCTTCTTTTGTGCGTACACAACGTTTATAAATGAGGCCCCTTCATTTCAGATGTTTTATCTTCACTAATTTATGAATTATAGTTTGTGAAACCTCATCCTTCAGATTCAGAATTGTTCGAACGGTCAACCGGCTTTTCTGGGAGATTTGTGTATATGTAGAAGATGGAAGATTGTAAACAATAATGCATTTTCATGGAAAGAAATATAGATTTGTGGGACTTTTATTATGTTTTATCATGTTCTCTACCTAAATGAGCTGGATGTAAAACTGTGGTTCCTGAGAAACTATTAATTATATTATTGGTCAAAAACCCTTCATACATCAGTGTGAATCTGTCAGTGGAGGATCAAGTTATAATTATGAATGGTTTTATTTTTATATATAGATGATTGAAATGTTACTTGAGTTTTCCGTTGTCATTCCTGCCAATACTCTTACCTTCCACTATTATTCTTATAGACTTGTACACTTGTGCTGCAAAACTCTGATTTTTCCCCACCAAAATACAGATGTTTAACGGAGAATAGTTTTATTAAGAAGCACGATTGTTTGAGACTTTAGTGATGCGTTTCTTACACCACTGAGAAGAAGTTTCTCTTTTAAATAGTCCCACTCTGAATATATGTTATACTTAAGAAAAGTCAACAGTGTGTTGAAGCAGAGAAATACATTTATTTTTTGTCTTAACCAATCTACTCCATTTTAAAATGAATCTTGTTTAAAGATTATTTTACTATTTGACTGAAAAACACAAATATTGATCATAAACTGATTTTAATAACATTGTACAAATATTAATCTGTAATAATTTACATTTTTGCCCAAATGTTTTAAGAATATAATGTGAGCTGAGGATATTAAGATGTGCAATGCTCTTTGTTTTTATTATTTTATATATAATACGGGGAAACAGTGTTGACTAAACCTGCACATAGAAAATACTTAAAGATGTTGAAGAAATCAGGACACAGTTAAAACAAACAAACAAAAAAATCTGCTAGAATAATCATAAAAACAAAAAGTCGTATAAGAACTGTAGCTTTACCGAGTCGTTTTGAGTGACTCTTATTATGAAATGCTCAAATACCAACGGGGAAATCTGATGTTTAACATCAATTCATCAACTTCGTAAAAAAAATGATGGCCTGTTGCTGTTTGTAAAGGTTTGCTACCAGAAGCTAATTTAAACTATTGTGAAAAGACTTTGTGATCGATGTCAGCACGGATCTTTGACTCGACGATGACGTCAGGACTCGGGTCAAGCACAAGCCGTTCTTGAATCTGCGTGATTGTTCGACGGCGTTCAGGAGTTCATTTGCAGGAATCATTTGGATGTTTAGTTTGAGAGCTGTGCCGGATGTCTGAGATTGGGTTTTTCTCAGTCTGAGCTGAACTTCTGACCGTCACATGACTCGTTTTAATCTGTTCTTTACATAAAACACCACATGACTGCAGACTCGAGTCGAATGAACTACTGTCGAGAGTTTAATGCCTTTCTCTATGAACTCTTAAACATTACCTGTACCATAATAAAGCGAAAATCAATCTGTAATGTAGAGTTATGAAAATTACACATACAGTAAAGTTAACAATTAAACTTTTATTTAAAAACATGAAACACAGTTTCATTTCTGATTTTTCACTATTTTCTTTTTTGATTAATCAAAGATTCATGCTATTGTTCGAAAGTTTGGGGTCAGTGAGATTTTCAATTCAGAACAGGCTGTGATTCACTGAAGGGGTTTATCATAATCTTCGAGTGGTTAATTCACCGCATCTGTTCCAAACCCAGTGTTTGGACACGTGTGTGTGTGTGTGTGTGTGTGTGTGTGTGTGTGTGTTAAGCCTCCTCAGTGTATTTGGTGTTGCTGAACTCGGCGCTGAGGAGCGGCTGGAACTGGCGTTTTCTCCTCCGCTGGACGTACAGAAGCAGAAGAAGAAGTCCGAGGAAGATTCCTCCCAGTGAACAACCCAACACGACCACTGCAGGTCCACTGTCTGTGTCTGGAGGAACACACACACACACACACACACACACACACACACTAGCCATCAAACTTTGGAGTCATTAGGATTGTTCAGTGTTTCTAAAGGGTCTTTTCTGCTCAGCAAAGCTGAAATTATTTGATCAACAATACAGTAAAAACACAATTTCCACAAAAAATCAAATTCAGTTCATCAAAGGCACTTTACTGTATATTCACACAGAGAACGGGTGATTTACACTGGAGTAATATTACACTGTTTTACTGTATTTATGATCAGATAAACACAGCTTTGGAGACTTTTTCATTGACAAATCGTAATTGTTAAAAATCGTGACGGTAGTGCACATCATATATCTTGTTGATTCAGGATAAATTGTTTAAAGAATAGTTGAAAATGAAAGTTCTGCCATTATTTATTCACCCTGATGTCATTCCACAGCAGTATTCTGTGATTATGAGCTCGTTAAGTCCTCATCGTTAGGGTTATTGGTCTCGTTATCTGTATCTGGAAGTTGTTCTTCCAGAATATCAGCGTATGAGTCAGAGCCGACATTAACCATGACCGAATCACGTGTTCTGGTGGCTACGATGAAAGGCTAACACACCTTCCAGGTCGATGGCGTAGGCATAGCCCAGCTGCTCCGCCGCCACGTAGATCTCCTCGTTGGTGACGGGCGGGAAGAAGGGCACCATGTTGTAGTGGCGGTTGTGTCCGATCGGGGCCATCTCGTCCGGGAAGCTGCCGTTCTCCCGCGAGCGCCGCATCCACTCCTCGAAGATGGCGTCGGTGAAGGAGTGCAGCACCTGCCGGAGCAGTTCAGTACTTCTTACTCTAATACATTGGTGAAGACATTACTCTTACACGTTGTAGCCACACTTAACTTATTCTGCTGCAGTTTATTATAATCAAGGGCTTTGAAGGAACTGTGAGCTCATTCGCAGGTGTTTCGTACTGGAGATGAGGCCGAAACCAGCACTTCTAGTGCAAGCTTTATTTAATTTTACTTGACATTATTTTATGTTTTGAAGATACTTTTTTGACGGATATTGGTTTACTTTTAGTGATCGCTCTCCTCACAGATCAACTGTTTCTGGTCTCTTTACATGTGGAGGACTAGTTCATCTCTGATCCTATGTTCAGTTTGAGTAAAATATTTAAGGACTGTTCAGTCAGACTTTCTCAAATCATGTTGAAATTGGAGACTTGTAAAATGGAGTAATTTCCACTGTAATGTATCTGTACTTTCACTCAAGTGTGGTTTTCAGGACCTCTGTGTAAGAGAACATGTGTCTGGATCGGGATCCGAGTTCAGATTATTGAATGTGATTGTGATGTTACCAGGAATACGGGGTCGTTGGCAGCGGAGTGGGACTGAGCGCTGGTCCCGCTGAGGAACTGATGCACGAGGTTATGAAGGTTCGAGACCGAAGAGTCCAGTTCACCGTCGGGCCGGTCGAATCCCTCCAGAGCGTTCCTGCAGAGAGAGAACATTAGGGTTTGTTTTAATCATGTCTGGTCTGAGTTCTCCACTGTTCTGACCAGCAGGGGTCGCCAGCGAGGGCCGTTTTGAACGCTTTGAAACAGAGAATCATTTTGTGAAGGAATCGGTTCAAGACTTTTGTTTCTCCCACACTGCCCTTTTGTGCTTGTCAAACCGTACTTTCAAATAATGTCAGTGGAGTTGGCATTATTATTTGCGAGACAGAATATATGTAGTTGTTCTGTGCGTGTTTGCGAGATCACCTGAAGCTGAAGCTGGAGTTGGTGAAGTACGGTGGGCTGTCGAACTCTCGCAGGTTCAGGCAGCTTCGCACGTCACTCATGGTTGGGAGAGTCACATTCGTGCCCTGTGTGAGTCCCCTGCGTAGTGTTCCCTCGCTAGTGCCGTTGCACAGGGTCACCAGACGGTTATACTCATCCAGACTGGAGGAAGAAGACGATGAAGAACGTCAGTACGGGATTCTGGAGCAGGAACGCATCACAGTGTCTCATTCTGTGCACTTCCACCCCGATCTCTTGAAAGTGCGTATCTAGAGCATGAATTATTTTTATCGTGCAATTTATCGCACAAAAACAGATGTTTGTTTTTTGGATGGCCATTTTGTCAAGTAAAGTCACCTTGATTTATATAGCACTTTTTACAATACTAAGATTCTCTTTTACAGTTAGTTTATAATAAAATAGCGTCACAGTCCAGCTTAAGTAAGTTCAGTGATGTTTTTTTGCTGTATAAAAGTTATTAATTTACTTAATTTATATATATATATATATATATATATAGCCACTCTGGAGAAAACCGTGACGTCATCGTCCAGCTCAGTTCAGTTCTGCAGGAGATTGAATATTATTGATGAATATTAAGTGTCCCCAACTTTTTGTGCGTTTCTTTATTGTATGCATAATTGTCTGAATGCCATTGTGTTCTGAAAGGTTAAAGCATATATTTTTAGTCATTAATCGTTGATTTGATCAAATTCATCTTCTGGTGTTTCTGTGTCGTTGTGTACTAAAACACTGTTTAAGACTGTTTGAACTACATGTAATAATATATAATTATTAGATGAAAACAATTAGACTTGTTGCATCAGCAATAAAAAGTTAAAATGACTAAAATTACTAAAACTGAAAAATAAATTAAGCTAAACAGAAATATTTAAAAATAATTAAAGTAATAAAAGTAGGGAAAAGTACATCAAATGACGAAAACTACAATTAAAATAAAACCGGACGTGTTTTGCATTGAGGATGTTGTAGTAGTTCCTGTTAATTTATTTGATAACACTTTATTACAATAGTCCACTTTAGACATTCTGTTAACTATAAGTAACTTTGCAACTCCGTATCAACTAACTCTAGATAGTGTTGGTAGACTGTTTGCTTAATATCTGATTACACTTTATTTTGATTGTCCACCAAAAGATATTCTACTGACTATAAGTTTCTTGGCAACTACAAGTCAACTTGTTCTACTAACCCGAACCCTTTAATGAGAGTTAGTTGAAATGTAGTTTCAAAGTTACTTATATGGTTAAAGTGGACTGTCAAAGAAAAGTGAAACTATTTTTTTTTCTTAATAATCCAATATGATCTTTTACCCCAGATTGCAAGTCTGTTTTATACTTTTAAGAGCCTCCAAAAGACTGTCCCAGATGAAGGGTTAGGTTAGAGTTGAGTTGAGTGGGGCTATCCTCTGAAACGCACCTGTCGCACACCACAGGCCAGCGTGAGAAGCGGGATCCGGGGCTGATCCGGGACGGGTCCTCGGGGTGTGGTCCTCCCAGCAGAGCGTCTGTGCACACGTCACACTCCTGACGACCCGTCGCAAACTTCCAGTACGGCACGGCGAAGTTCTCGTTCCCCGTCAGCTTCTGAGAGGGGAAGAAGCAACTGCTGAACTCACCCAAAAGGAATCTAGATTCTGACTTATATTTCTCACAATAAAAATGTAAACAAACTCACGAAGGCACAATACTGTTTAAAAAATGCACCTAGTTTAACTTTTATAAGTTAAACTAAATTTTTAAGCACACAAAAAATAGGGTGTGGAAACAAGTTACACACAGTAATCGCTAGTAAATTTCTCAATTAATTACAGTTTCAGCAAGTAACGCATTGAATTCAACATGGAATTTTGAAGTAGGAAGAATAAAAGAGTATTTTCTTGTAAAAAAGCATGTCACTCTGACTTATTGATAATTTAAAAACAATAATTCTACAAAAACTTTAACACCTGACCTGACCTGTAGTTAGTGTTAGTGTAGTTCTGACCTGTAGTTGGGGTTAGTATTCTGACCTGTAGTTAGTGTTAGTGTAGATCTGACCTGTAGTTAGTGTTAGTGTAGTTCTGGCCTGTAGTTAGGGTTAGTGTAGATCTGACCTGTAGTTAGTGTTAGTGTAGTTCTGACCTGTAGTTAGTGTTAGTGTAGATCTGACCTGTAGTTGGGGTTAGTATAGTTCTGACCTGTAGTTAGTGTTAGTGTAGATCTGACCTGTAGTTAGGGTTAGTGTAGTTCTGACCTGTACTTAGGGTTAGTGTAGATCTGACCTGTAGTTAGTGTTAGTGTAGTTCTGGCCTGTAGTTAGTGTTAGTGTAGATCTGACCTGTAGTTAGGGTTAGTGTAGTTCTGACCTGTAGTTAGTGTTAGTGTAGTTCTGACCTGTAGTTACTGTTAGTGTAGTTCTGACCTTTAGTTAGTGTTAGTGTAGTTCTGGCCTGTAGTTAGGGTTAGTGTAGTTCTGGCCTGTAGTTAGTGTTAGTGTAGTTCTGGCCTGTAGTTAGTGTTAGTGTAGTTCTGACCTGTAGTTAGCGTTAGTGTAGATCTGACCTGTAGTTAGTGTTAGTGTAGTTCTGACCTGTAGTTAGGGTTAGTGTAGATCTGACCTGTAGTTAGTGTTAGTGTAGTTCTGACCTGTAGTTAGGGTTAGTGTAGATCTGACCTGTAGTTAGTGTTAGTGTAGTTCTGACCTGTAGTTAGTGTTAGTGTAGTTCTGACCTGTAGTTAGGGTTAGTGTAGTTCTGACCTGTAGTTAGTGTTAGTGTAGTTCTGACCTGTAGTTAGTGTTAGTGTAGATCTGACCTGTAGTTAGGGTTAGTGTAGTTCTGACCTGTAGTTAGTGTTAGTGTAGATTTGACCTGTAGTTAGTGTTAGTGTAGTTCTGACCTGTAGTTAGTGTTAGTGTAGTTCTGACCTGTAGTTAGTGTTAGTGTAGATTTGACCTGTAGTTAGTGTTAGTGTAGTTCTGACCTGTAGTTAGGGTTAGTGTAGTTCTGACCTGTAGTTAGTGTTAGTGTAGATTTGACCTGTAGTTAGTTTTAGTGTAGTTCTGACCTGTAGTTAGGGTTAGTGTAGTTCTGACCTGTAGTTAGTGTTAGTGTAGATTTGACCTGTAGTTAGTGTTAGTGTAGTTCTGGCCTGTAGTTAGTGTTAGTGTAGTTCTGACCTGTAGTTAGGGTTAGTGTAGTTCTGACCTGTAGTTAGGGTTAGTGTAGATCTGACCTGTAGTTAGTGTTAGTGTAGTTCTGACCTGTAGTTACGGTTAGTGTAGTTCTGACCTGTAGTTAGGGTTAGTGTAGTTCTGACCTGTAGTTAGTGTTAGTGTAGTTCTGACCTGTAGTTACGGTTAGTGTAGTTCTGACCTGTAGTTAGGGTTAGTGTAGTTCTGACCTGTAGTTAGGGTTAGTGTAGATCTGACCTGTAGTTAGTGTTAGTGTAGTTCTGACCTGTAGTTACGGTTAGTGTAGTTCTGACCTGTAGTTAGGGTTAGTGTAGTTCTGACCTGTAGTTAGGGTTAGTGTAGATCTGACCTGTAGTTAGTGTTAGTGTAGTTCTGACCTGTAGTTAGTGTTAGTGTAGATTTGACCTGTAGTTAGTGTTAGTGTAGTTCTGACCTGTAGTTAGGGTTAGTGTAGTTCTGACCTGTAGTTAGTGTTAGTGTAGATTTGACCTGTAGTTAGTGTTAGTGTAGTTCTGGCCTGTAGTTAGGGTTAGTGTAGTTCTGACCTGTAGTTAGGGTTAGTGTAGATTTGACCTGTAGTTAGTGTTAGTGTAGTTCTGGCCTGTAGTTAGTGTTAGTGTAGTTCTGACCTGTAGTTAGTGTTAGTGTAGTTCTGACCTGTAGTTAGGGTTAGTGTAGTTCTGGCCTGTAGTTAGTGTTAGTGTAGTTCTGGCCTGTAGTTAGTGTTAGTGTAGTTCTGACCTGTAGTTAGCGTTAGTGTAGATCTGACCTGTAGTTAGTGTTAGTGTAGTTCTGACCTGTAGTTAGGGTTAGTGTAGATCTGACCTGTAGTTAGTGTTAGTGTAGTTCTGACCTGTAGTTAGGGTTAGTGTAGATCTGACCTGTAGTTAGTGTTAGTGTAGTTCTGACCTGTAGTTAGGGTTAGTGTAGATCTGACCTGTAGTTAGTGTTAGTATAGTTCTGACCTGTAGTTAGTGTTAGTGTAGATCTGACCTGTAGTTAGGGTTAGTGTAGTTCTGGCCTGTAGTTAGTGTTAGTGTAGTTCTGACCTGTAGTTAGTGTTAGTGTAGTTCTGACCTGTAGTTAGTGTTAGTGTAGATCTGACCTGTAGTTAGGGTTAGTGTAGATCTGACCTGTAGTTAGTGTTAGTATAGTTCTGACCTGTAGTTAGTGTTAGTGTAGATCTGACCTGTAGTTAGGGTTAGTGTAGTTCTGGCCTGTAGTTAGTGTTAGTGTAGTTCTGACCTGTAGTTAGTGTTAGTGTAGTTCTGACCTGTAGTTAGTGTTAGTGTAGTTCTGACCTGTAGTTAGTGTTAGTGTAGATCTGACCTGTAGTTAGGGTTAGTGTAGTTCTGGCCTGTAGTTAGTGTTAGTGTAGTTCTGGCCTGTAGTTAGTGTTAGTGTAGATCTGACCTGTAGTTAGTGTTAGTGTAGATCTGACCTGTAGTTGGGGTTAGTGTAGATCTGACCTGTAGTTAGTGTTAGTGTAGTTCTGACCTGTAGTTAGGGTTAGTGTAGATCTGACCTGTAGTTAGTGTTAGTGTAGTTCTGGCCTGTAGTTAGGGTTAGTGTAGATCTGACCTGTAGTTAGGGTTAGTGTAGTTCTGACCTGTAGTTAGTGTTAGTGTAGTTCTGACCTGTAGTTAGTGTTAGTGTAGTTCTGACCTGTAGTTAGTGTTAGTGTAGATCTGACCTGTAGTTAGGGTTAGTGCAGTTCTGACCTGTAGTTAGTGTTAGTGTAGATCTGACCTGTAGTTAGGGTTAGTGTAGATCTGACCTGTAGTTAGTGTAGTTCTGACCTGTAGTTAGTGTTAGTGTAGTTCTGACCTGTAGTTAGTGTTATTGTAGTTCTGACCTCTAGTTAGGGTTAGTGTAGTTCTGACCTGTAGTTAGTGTTAGTGTAGATCTGACCTGTAGTTAGTGTTATTGTAGTTCTGACCTGTAGTTAGTGTTAGTGTAGTTCTGACCTGTAGTTAGTGTTATTGTAGTTCTGACCTGTAGTTAGGGTTAGTGCAGTTCTGACCTGTAGTTAGTGTTAGTGTAGATCTGACCTGTAGTTAGGGTTAGTGTAGATCTGACCTGTAGTTAGTGTAGTTCTGACCTGTAGTTAGTGTTAGTGTAGTTCTGACCTGTAGTTAGTGTTATTGTAGTTCTGACCTCTAGTTAGGGTTAGTGTAGTTCTGACCTGTAGTTAGTGTTAGTGTAGATCTGACCTGTAGTTAGGGTAAGTGTAGTTCTGACCTGTAGTTCTCTCTCCAGGCTAAGCAGATGGAATCGGTGCCAGGTGATAAACGCCGGACCCTTGTGGGAAAAGTCGATGGCTTTGAAAGGGCGTCCTGGACCTGCCAGCAGAAACAGGTCAGTATCATAATCACATAACCACATCATACATTAGTAGGGCCCAATCAAACACATATATTTCTCCAAATTCAGTTTTTCCCCCTCCAGTTAAATTTTTTAGTAGCTCAATTTTTTTTAAACTAACGCTTACCCTGACCATTTTAATGCTCAATCAATTGGTTAATAGTTAATCAACTGATTTCATAAAAAAAAATTATTTATTTATTTTTTACAATTACAGGGTCCTTTAAAATGTGAATTTTTTTTTAGAAATTATGTGTTTTAGTTTTTCTGGAGCTGAAATTTAATACAAATCTATCATTCTAACCGATGGTAATCAAATGAAGGCGTAAAAAAATGAATAATTTAATTAATCTTTCAAAATGTAATCAAAAAATGAAAAATGTAAAGGTTTGAATTTCAAACATAGAAAACAAACACAGAAACATAAAAAACAGAAAGGTGGTTTCATTTCAAACTTTGAAATGAAACCACCTTTCTGTTTTTTATGTTTCTGACACTTCTTTGAGGAATGTTGATGGTTTAATCCAGCGGCTCGGGTTCGTTAGTTCCTCACCTAGTAGCGTCGGGTTCGGGTTCGAGTTAGGGTTCGGGTTCGGTTTAGTTAGTTCCTCACCTAGTAGCGTCGGGTTCGGGTTCGAGTTAGGGTTCGGGTTCGGGTTAGTTAGTTCCTCACCTAGCAGTGTGTCCCGCACGGAGTAGTAGTGCTGCCAGACGAACAGGTCGTATATGGAGATGTTGTTGAACTGGGGTTCGGTGCCGTTGGGTCCCAGCAGACCCAGCCAGTGTTGAGTGGCGATCACGTACTCCGGGTGAACGGTGCTCTTGGCCCGGTCCAGAACACTGAGGAACTCCTGGAGCTCGTCGGCGTTCAGAGAGAGAATGTCCTTCCTCACAACCGGAGCTTTACGCTGTTCACAGTCCGACCCGGTCCAGCCGAACTTACACTCGCCACAGTTAAAGCCAGCGAAGTTCCCTGATCAAGATCATTTAGACATACGTTTATAGTATAGGTTTATAGCATATCCAGATATGTCATGCAGAAGTAAGTAAACAGTCATGAAAGGGTTACTACTACAAGTCCTGCAACTTGACAGACAATTAAAATGATTTAGTTTCACACAAACCGAAGCATCGGCAGGTCCGGTTGAAGAACTTGGTTGGCCACTTCTCCCGGTCGTCCACGTTCCTCAGCCGGTACGGTCCTCCCCACGGTCGGGAGTCGATGGGAACGTCACTGCAGTTTCCCCGACCCGACAGAACTCCACATCGGTTCTCCGGCTCGGATCCCAGCGCGGGACAGCACTCTTTAGACACGATTCCCTCGACGGTACAGCAGACCCGGGGGAACTGAGCCTCCGTCAGGTTCATCCATCCCAGACCCAACAGAGCCAACACGAGCCATCTCCTCATCTCTGCAGCTTCAGACCCCACAGCGGATCTCCGAGCACAAGCACACCCAATCAGTGTGTGTTTAAGGAGAACACGCGTATAATGCCGTCATTACACACATGACATGCTCATTCTCCCGTCACTGCATTTATACGCGGTGCGCCGGGATTACTCGGCCGTCCCGTGGCCGTCACCTGACACTAAAGCCCCGGGGGGAAGCCTGTTCCTCAATGGGTTCAACTCTTCAGGAGCAAATGACCACAGTTTATGTTTCAGATGTTTATGATTTATGGTGTCACAGTGTGTTTCTGTGGTTAGGTGAGAGGGCTTTCTGCGTATAACTCATGATCCAGTTTCAGTCTGGAACAAGAAACAGATTTCAGATGCATTCTTTTCTTCTTTAGAAAAAAATCTATTCGTGTTGTTGATTTATTCATATTTGATGGGGTCTATGATCATTATTTTCTTCATTTCTCATGTAATGGCCAATGCTTTGGCAGTACTGTACAACTGTTCATTTGAACTGAGCTGAATTGAGTGTGTGTGGGAGAGAGAGAGTGTGTGTGTGTGTGTGTGGGAGAGAGAGTGTGTGTGGGGGTGAGAGAGAGTGTGTGTGTGGGGGGGTGAGAGAGAGTGTGTGTGTGTGTGTGTGTGTGGGTGTTTGCTCTCTGAATTCCTCCGGGTCTCTGCGGGTCGTTCTCGTGACTGACCGGGTCACTGACCAAAGCCTTTCTCAGTCCTCAGACTCGGACGCTCTCAGCAACACTCGTCACACACACACACACACACACACACACACACACACACCGGCTCAGGGCCGTGTTCAAAACCCTGCTGCGCCACAGAGCGCCGTTTACATAGTTTTATATAAAATTTAAATAATTTTTGTCTCAAATCGGTGCTGACGGATCCTGACTTCGCCCTATGCTGCGATATGCATTTAGTTTTGCATTAATTGACAGAAATCGGCTGCTTGAATGACAAGTGCTGCTGTTATTGGATTTTTCAGGTGAGATTCTCAATTTATTCAGTGAACGGATGCTCTGAGGGAAAGTTTTCAGACTGCAGACTCAACAACGATTGTATTTAATTGTACAGTACAATCATAACATAGAACACACATTACCTTCATTTCATGTCATTAAACATAAGAATATTGCTGGCCATACACTGATGAGAAAGTGCGCGTCCGGTGTGCGATAGCTGGAGTTGTCCTAGACGGCGCGGCGCTTCTCGTCCGGTGTGCGTTAGTACTATGTAAAAGTGGTTTTAATTTAATTGAACCAATTTTTACTTACATTGGAAGTATAGAGTCAGGTCAGCTAAAATTATAATGTTGGCAATTTCATCAAGGCAGGACAAAACTAAACATAGTTAACCTGACAAAAATATCTCTATTAGGCAAAATTTATCTAGTAGAAATTTTTAAAAGTAGTCTTGAATAAATAAATTTAAGTTCATACAACAACATTACAACAAATCATTTCAAACCAATTAGATTTTTTTGGGAAAATATAATTCAATTTTGAGGAAAAGTTTGTTTATAGCTTCGTCTTTTTTTGAGTGTATGTTTGTATAGACCATTTCGCAAGATGTAAACAACACTGGTCCAGAAGCACTTCCTGTTTCAGTTTTTTAACACTACATAAAAGCTGGGATAAAATACAACCAACAGAACATGTAAAACTGAATCAAAAAGTTAAACAAACATCTTTAAGATGTTTTCTTTACATGTGAAATAAAGAAAACAGTTACAAACTGAAACATGAAGTGCTTCTGGACCAGTGTTGTTTACATCTTGTGAAAGAGGTTGCAAATATTCTTTAGATTGTCTTCAATTCAAGGGGTTGCGAGTCACAGCTTGCCCCGACCAGAGTTATGTAACCAGTACTACAAACGTCCAGTTCATACGGTGAGTAACACAACTACTGCAGAGAAAACCAGTAGCAACAATTCTGCTGGTTCCAACTAGTTTACTGGTTCTGTATATAACACTGATGATCATGAGACGCGTGATGTGGAATGTACAGATCTAATGCACAGCAGCATCTGACGGGCTTCAGGGTCTTCGGTGCACGTTTGCCCTGTGGATGAACACATGACTCTTGCAGTCGGCCAGCGTTTGCAGTGCAGTCCTCCTGTGGAGCAGCACTTCCAGGGTCTGTGAGGAAAGCTGCTTATCCTCCTGTGTGTGTGTGTGTGTGTGTGTGTGTGTGTGTGTGTTCACTCAATAATGTGTTCGAATTTTAAAGACGTGGCACTGCGCGACGCTGCGCTTCTCGTCCGGTGTGCGACCCCTTTAATGCGTAACAGTATAGTGAATAATGACACAGTTGCCCCTCTTCTGCATTATTACAACCACACAATTCAAAAACATAACTGAACACTAGCATTAGACTGAGAAACACATAAAACAACACTTTAATCCCCACATTTACCCTTTAATGCAGTCTCTTGCAAAGCATGCTGGAATGAAAAAGCATCAACAATGATTCATGTAGTTTTCACACAAATTAAGTAAACTTCAGTTATAGAAATATTCGGTTGATTGAACTCAAAGTTGTGACAAAATGGTTTTTTTAAAAAAAAACTTATTACTTTAGCTTATTTTATTCACAAACTGACCGAGAGGCAAGAAACTCAAACACACCTGAAGCAACCAATTAAGGTCTTCAGAATGACCCGGAAATTAAAGGCAGGTGTGTGAGATTAGAGTTGGAGATGAGCTGTGCAGGACGGTCGATCGGCAGGAGCAGGGTTGGGGACCATCACAAGTAAATGATGTTTTTAATTAGAAATATATATATAAATATATGCAAGATTATGAATAGATTACATTTTTTTTTAAATCCTATTTTTTCCCAGCACTACATAGAGTGAAACACAATTACTAATTCAGTCAGTGTGATGAAGCGCACAGATGTGTGTGTCTGCCTGACAGTGTGTGTGTGTTTAGAGAGCCTGCTAATGGGACTCATTTAAGTTGCATTAATTGCTGCGGTGTGAGTGGCCTACGCTTCAGGCGTCTCTGAATGAGCCGAGGCATAAAGAGCACTTCGCTGAAGCCTCGCTCACAACACTATTGTTTTAGTGATGAAAAACAGATGAAATATGCTGAGGACTCCGCTTATCCTTTGAAGCGGCCACAATCAGAAATTCTCGATTAATAACATTTCAAAGGGACATCCAGATGAAGGTGATGCTTAATTCTGTGTAACAAGCAACGGCGTATTATTATTGTTATTATGATGATGATGTTGATGGAAACGCATCAGTCCTGCTAATGGCTCTCCGGACCGCACACGTTTTAGGGAACCTAATGTGTCGATTCAGAGAAAGGCTGCCTTTCAGATTGTAATTGAGAGCACTTCAGTTTCATTTCAAAAGCACAAGGCTTCAGAGAAGAAAATGTAAAATGTTTTAAATGAAGCGTGGATTGGTCTGGCATTATGACACGTTTGCCATGGTTCAGGGTTTCCCTCAGATATTAAAACACAAAGACGCTCTGCTTCTGGTCAAACTGGCTCTGGAAAATCTGCCTTTAAATCGCCCTGTGTCTTAGTTTGGATAAAATACATGTATTTGATGTTAAAATGGTGTCTGTGATACGGATGACCATTTCTGCCACATTAAGAAACAAAAATCAGGCTTTGGTAAGTCAGAATTATGAGAGTCGAAATTATGACATGCTGAGTCTTGTATATGAGTGATAAAACAAATTCTGAATCAAATTTATAGACAAGTAGTTTGTTCAGGCATGATTTTGGAGGGAATTGCAAACCTGCGCACATTTCTTCAAATGCACAAAACTATAGAATCAATTCTTAATGCGGATGTGAACGCCATCAGCGTTTATCACAGGCTCAGTTTAAAGTCTGTTTAGAGACATTCATATACATTTTTACCTTACAGTTACTGTAAATCCGGCCTCTAGTTCATAAACGCCAGAGGAGAACTGGCCCCGACTGAGCCTGGGTTCGCCCAAGGTTTTTTTTTTCTCCATTGGGTCACCTGATGGAGTTTTAGGACACCATTGGGTCACCTGATGGAGTTTCAGGACACCATTGGGTCACTTGATGGAGTTTTAGGACACCATTGGGTCACTTGATGGAGTTTAGGACACCATTGGGTCACCTGATGACTTTTAGGACACCATTGGGTCACCTGATGGAGTTTCAGGACACCATTGGGTCACCTGATGGAGTTTTAGGACACCATTGGGTCACTTGATGGAGTTTAGGACACCATTGGGTCACTTGATGGAGTTTAGGACACCATTGGGTCACCTGATGACTTTTAGGACACCATTGGGTCACCTGATGGAGTTTTAGGACACCATTGGATCACCTGATGGAGTTTCAGGACACCATTGGGTCACCTGATGGAGTTTTAGGACACCATTGGGTCACCTGATGGAGTTTCAGGACACCATTGGGTCACTTGATGGAGTTTTAGGACACCATTGGATCACCTGATGGAGTTTCAGGACACCATAGGGTCACTTGATGGAGTTTAGGACACCATTGGGTCACCTGATGACTTTTAGGACACCATTGGGTCACCTGATGGAGTTTTAGGACACCATTGGATCACCTGATGGAGTTTCAGGACACCATTGGGTCACCTGATGGAGTTTTAGGACACCATTGGGTCACCTGATGGAGTTTCAGGACACCATTGGGTCACTTGATGGAGTTTTAGGACACCATTGGATCACCTGATGGAGTTTCAGGACACCATAGGGTCACTTGATGGAGTTTAGGACACCATTGGGTCACCTGATGACTTTTAGGACACCATTGGGTCACCTGATGGAGTTTTAGGACACCATTGGATCACCTGATGGAGTTTCAGGACACCATTGGGTCACCCGATGGAGTTTCAGGACACCATTGGGTCACCTGTTGGAGTTTTAGGACACCATTGGGTCACTTGATGGAGTTTTAGGACACCATTGGGTCACCTGATGGAGTTTAGGACACCATTGGGTCACCTGATGGAGTTTCAGGACACCATTGGGTCACCTGATGGAGTTTCAGGACACCATTGGGTCACCTGATGGAGTTTCAGGACACCATTGGGTCACCTGTTGGAGTTTTAGGACACCATTGGGTCACCTGATGGAG